CAGAAAGTCTAATTTTATGACTTGTACACAAACTGAGTAATTTAAAACCAAATACATCGACCCGTATTTGACAAACAAATTGCAATATCGTTTTGATTAGAATAAAGACTTACATTCCTTTCAGAAGTGAACATTTACTAGGTAACTGACGTTGACGGTCAAACTTGACCATTATTCATTTAAGCAAATACATTCAGTTTTGTTTCACTCTGAAAAGCACCAAACTATTTTTATCAGGTCCGAATATTATATCGCAAGTGATTAGAGATTAAAATTTAAAACTAACTAGTTTTGTTGTTTCGTTGACAATGGGCATACATAAGCTCATATCTATAATAGCTTGTGAAACAGATTTTTTTCGCCATATACAAACTGAATTATTCAAAGGGATGAATACCTCCACAAACCTGACATCGTCGTAGTTAAATGTGATAATTTGTCAAGTGAAAATTCAGTTCCAAGATCTCGTCATTCTTGCAATCATCAACTGAACCAATGAAAAGTGTTCAATTGCTTTGACGCTAAGATATAATTTAGATGAACATTTGTAATGACAATCAAAGTGTTTATATCATTCTATATTAATTTGATGGACACATTTATCCTAGTATATATTATGAATTTTGTGTTTTAGGAATCAACAACAACATGTGATGTTTGCGTACATACAGTTTATTATTTGTTATCTAGGTTACCTATTATGTGTATGTTCAGAAAAAGTCAAGACAAGTACAATATTTCTAAATTGAAAAATTGTAAAAATCTCGTGATGTTTGAAAACAATCTGTTATAGTCTTAAAGTAATTGTAGCAATGCTGATAAATATAGATTAAGATAACCTCAAGGCGGCCTGCTTGAATATCTGGGCTACCTGTTCCTGTCATCTGGATATTTCAACAAGTTATCTGTTTCCACGCTTGTCTTAACACATCATTATGCCCATTGTTTGCAAATCTTATTCAGGTGCGTTTGTGAAAAGTTCACGACATTTCAGAGACGTCGTGGTCGCTGGCAATATGCATCGAAAACAATATACATTAATCAGATGTCGATTCCTAAACAGCTAACATCTAACTGGCGACCACCCAATATTTATCGCAAGGGTCAATCAAGAAATAAGAAATGGAACCTTGGTGAAATACTTTGTGTTGAGAATTCGATATTGTACCAAAAATATAATATTGAATAAAGCTAATAATAATAAAATAAATTTGAAAATAAGATTTTTCTGATTCCATAGCTGTAGTATGGAGTGGCAATACAAATTGTTTTTATCTGATTTCAGAATTCTCACTTGTATTAGTAGTACTATGTATGTATATAGTATTTAATCGGATACAAGAACATATGTAAAACAATAAACTTTTGTAGCAAATTATTTCAACAGAATCTGGTGTTTTATTTCTTTCCTAGATTATTCGTCACAGAATATAGTCAAACTATGTTTCAACTGCGTATCCTAATTGACTAAATAATGAGACTTATTGACTAAAAACAAATACATACTGCAAGAAGCCACATCATCGTGCCTCACATAGATTTCAAAGTATCTAGATGAAGGATCTCAAAGGGATTGAAGTAATTATAAAAGAATAATTTGTATTTCATCTCATCTCACAATCACTTGCATTTAGTCTGGATGAAGCACTAAAGTGATATACTTTATTGGTGATTACTTGATTGTTTCTCATCTTCATGTGTCCTTTATGGAAACACTACCTATCTTAACAGCTCACCGTAACAAGTTTTGTCTTATTTCGTTCATTTTTTCAGTAACATAAAATTTTAATAAACACTATAAGATTCTATACACAAAATTCTACTGTATATCAAACTTGTGTGGACTGGATTAGTAGGGAACAACAAGTTTATAAATAAATAGCTTCAGACATGAGAGTGATTCCTTGATACTAAACACTCCCTGTTCTGATGGCAGTAGAGCTTTTTCCAATAAAGAATCGGAATTTTATGGGACAGTGCACCTCTTCAAGCGGAAAGATAAATAAATATGTTCAACCATACACACACTCCATGGATTATCAACGATGACCTTGTTACCAGGTTTTATGTTCATTATGATTAAATAACTGTTTTTCCTAATGGTAAATGAAATAACCTAATGGGCGTATTAATAAAATGTCAAGTGGCTGCAATCCATTTTCAATCCCTAATATATAATCAAGATTTTTATCAGACTAAGCTGTTAAATTCACAGACCAAACATTCTCCTAATGTACGAACGATATGAATGCGGTGAAATGAAAAACATAACTTTCTATCAGCATAAGGAACTAGATGTTTTACTACAAATAACATAAACTTGATACTCTATAAAAGTAGTAAAAAAGATTGTACAGTTATTAAATTCAAGAATGAAATGAGTTTGATGAATAAAACAGAGATTAAAACTACTTTCCAATCAGAACTCAATATAACATAGATTAAAGGCAAGAAACATAATTAGATATTAAATAATCTTTGTAAATATTTAAATGAATGAAATCAAAACTTTCTAACAAATATAACAAAATTTAGACAAATTGGTCTACCGAAAACCTGTACATAGACTCGACTTTTAGTCAGTAATGCTGTGACGTGTGCTACTTATATTGACATAAGTAGTAGATGATGTTAGTCGTGAACAGAAAGTCTGGCAGCAGAGAGACAAGAGGATCGAACAGAAAGAATGGAAACAGATGCAATTTGTATGAAAATGCAAGAACAATGAAGTCCGAGTCATTTTGAGACAATTGATGGACATTTTACAAATTAAGTATTTACTTTATGATTGTTAGATTTTATTGACAAGTCCTGTAATTTTGCGTCAAATTCATTCGATTGGTCAAATAAATTTAGGTGGACTGGGTTTTGAACCTACGACCAAAATAGGTTAACCATTAACACAACGTTGCAATTTTAAACAGCATATGGTAGAAAATCCCCAATAAGTAAATTTATTGCGACTTAGATCATGTGTTCTGAATGTTTAGCAATTTAACAAAAAATATATGATCTAAATTGAAATATAATGGCTACATAATTTCAAAATTAATGTCAAATTAAGTAAATTTTCTAAGAACTCGTCATAAAGGAGACTAGAATAAAAACATTTATCACTTCATTCTGAAGATCATAATCACACAAGAAGAAAATAGATTATCAAATAACTAATAGGAATTAAAATGTGAAGGTCTAAATTTATATTCAATTTCTTTTAGGTCAGAGAATCGAATACTGAACAATATTTGACATACACTAAATATATATATATATACCGATAAAAAGTTCATCCTTTTACCATGAGAATCATTGAGATTAAATGCCATAATACAAATAATAAAATCAAATCATGAGAAAGGTGAATAACAAAATAAATCATTGACCTTGATAATAGGAAAGGATTAAAAGAAATAAAACCTAATACATACAAATTGGTTGATGAATTGATGAACAGATAAATCAAAATTAATGACAAATTTTAGGGGAATTCAAATGATGAAGAAAAATGTCTTAAACAAATGTCTGGAAAATGTTATGAACACCCTAGGCATGTTGGAAATCGTAAGCGATTCATAACCAGTTAAAAAATTAATCTTTCAAGTAAACTAATGCATACAAAATAATACTTATTCATAAATGTGTTTTTCAGTTTATAAACTAATGACTGTTTGACTGACAAAATACATTGATTCATTTACATATAGACGTTTTACAACCTACAGACTTGGGCAACTGATGGAATTTTTTTTTCACACTGATGCAGTAGATTACTAAACGCTTTTTTCTACAGTGTATTGAACACCATTCGTTTGTTTATGAAAATAAATCTGAATTTTATTGTTCCACTCAATAACCTCTTAATTCCACCATATAAATAACAGAAAATCTGAAAAATTAAATTATCGTTGATTGTATATAAGAACACGGGATTTTGCTACCGTATTTAGTTCACTCATTGTTAGAAAAAGTGAGGAGAAAAGGTTGTCTATCATTCTTAATTTAAACATATTCTCAAAAAGATATAGGAATGCGGTCCCTTTAAAGTTTCTTGGTTAACTAATTGTTACAAATATGTTTTCAGATAAAGACTGTAAAGACTGCGGAACATCAATTTCCTATTTTTCGAATGGGTTGAGACTTCTTAGAAATGTAAACTAACTAAAACAGATGACTTTGTGTTATATCCCGATAAGAAATGCAGTGTTTAGTGTTTGATAAGACCAGCCAATTTGTAATTGTCATGCATGGGCAACTGCTTTAATTCCTACTTGATTAACATAGCAGATCAGGACGCACTACCGTATCAAATTACTCCTTTTCCAAAAGCAGATTCACGCAATTGGTTTCAAAATTAAGGACAAGTGTATTACATTGTCTAAGAAATAGATTGTGTTCTCGCTCATGTAGATGAGAGGTTAGCGTGTAGCACATAGTGCATCAATATCAGATTTTAAACAACGCTCGTCAAAAAAATGAGATTATTTCAGTTTATGATAAAAAGTATTATGTTTTAAAATATTAACTCATATTATAAATTACTAACAAAAATCACTAAAAGTCAAAGAATATAGGAAAGTTGATTATTCATAACAAAACATCAAAGTCCTAACATTGACCATTCCATGTTATCGATTACGGGTCTTGAGTATAAACATTCACTTCTACGAAACATTAGGAAGGATAAAATGAATGATCACTATCTATAGAAAAATCAAGATAATATAAAATATGCAATAGATTCGAATTACACAGTCATCCAGTTATCCCAATTCGTACTTCAAAAGGTTTTTGTATCCTAAATAACACCTAATCTGTCTAAAACAAATAGACGAACAATTTTGTCTAGAGTTAATAAAATGAAAACATGGTCTTAAAATGGAATAATCGTCTCTTGAATAATTTAGTTAGCATAACAAAACTTTAAATTGCTTATTACTACTTTTAATTGATACGTTTATTCTTTTCAATAGTAGCAACAATAGCGGAAATAAAATATGGATTTATGATAAGTCGGAAAATTTCAAAAGTTCATAGTTATGTACCATTAAATAGTCTTTAAATTCATCACTTGTAAGAAAAAACATTTCATGTTCTCGATCACTTGACTGTGAAAATAAATCAGGACCATCAGGATCTCCACAGCCTTCAAGATTATTAGATTCATTGGTATGTTTTATTGTTCTATAACCAGGATGAACCATAAATTCCACATTCTTACAATTTTCAAAAGATGATAAAGACTGATCCAATGATTCCATTGTTTGATTTTTTCCCATCAGCGCCATTCCAATAAATTTTTGAGTATATCTAAAATGTGATGACAATGATGCTTACTTTAGTTAAACATAAAATGAACACTGAATGAAGTGAATATTATTGAACGAATATACATACTTACGTTGCCTCTAATAACTGATCAATCATGCAGCATGTCCAATTATTTCAAAATTTTCACTTCATATATATGTGAAATCAATAATAGAAACAAATATCTGACGAGTAATTTGGCTGTCAACAATAGCCTTAATTTCAAACAATAATCATATAGACTGACATACTGACTGATATTTGTACTTTAGATAGATAAAACCCGACTGGTGGTCTGTTGGTTAATCGTTTGCGTATGATGAAAATCTAGATTACTGAAACTTAGATTACAATTCATGAGTGAATAATGATACACATATAGATATATAAATGTGTTATCGTGAATACTTTTACTTTTCGCCAGCAAAACAGAACGATTTAATAGCAAAATACATCGCTTTCTTGACAGAAATATATAACCGAGTCAACCAACAGACCAATACAGCACTTATTCCCAAAAAGAAGTAGAATCGGCACAGTTTGGTGCAAAAACAGCATTTTTGGTAAGGCTAACTGAAGATTCAGTTCGCACAAAATGTTTCAACATATATAAGCACTAGACACAAGTTAGAAAACATAATCGTTTATGAGGTAACAGACATTCATTTACAAGTTAATCTTTATACTATGAATGGGAATTTATGGATTTATGCAGTTTGAAAAACAAAATTCTCTACCTAGAACGCACATAGACGATTTACGCAATGATACGCCTATCTATCAATGTATCGAATAAATGTGTGTATGTTGAATGTTTTAAAACACTTTTCCCATTATTTGTATAATCGACCAAAGTACAAAACTAGCAACTTTCAGATACACAAAAATTACCCTCATTCATTCAGTAAATACCATACTACTTTAACTACTGTCTTTAATACAAAAGTCAGACATTGTAACCAGTATATCTACTAAAAAAACATCTAAAATACTAGGTGATTAGTTTGAATTTTATGGGGAATAATAAAATATATTGAACCAAACAGTATATGCATCCGATAAATCTTTAATGGTATAAAACATATGTAGTAAATTCTACCATGAACCAACAATAATTATAATAACTCCCTGTAAATTGAATGACAGCTTCATGCTAATATTTTACAACAGATATTAAACAATCATTACCAATAAATACATAATACTTATTAGACGTACTTTAAACTATAGGATGAAAATATTTCCTTTGCTTTCATCGCTTGATCAGATACTTCCCTATAGAAATTTATTTCAGCTAAAATGATACAGAGTTCAATCAAAAATTAACATAAAGTAATTGATAAAACAAAAGAAAAAAAAGAAATGAAATGAAGAGTACATGTGGGGAAAAAAAAGAAAATCATATCCCTCTTATCAGTATAATGTAAACTCATCATTACTAAAAATTTATGACTATTCTCACTAGGAATAAAATGTGAAACAAAAATAATACCAGTAAACAAAGTTAAAATTGTGAGATATTACAAAAACTAATTAATAATGTTCAGAAGGATTGCAATATTACAACTTTCAGTAAGTAAAGATAAGAAATTGGCAAAACTAGATACAAACATTATATACTACGACAAAGTATAAGTAATTCCAATGAATAGGCTACTCTGTCAAACTATACTTGTTTTCGATACGTGTTGTTCAGTGCAATTCCCTTGTTATTATCCTATCAATATTTTTGTTTATATGAGTGCTTCCAGGTTTTCCATGGTGGTCTAGCTTCAAATGACTCATGATCTCAACTGTTGAAATCATATGAGAAACGTTGAACGGTTTCTGAATAATCACCAACATAAGAGCCTAGACTGTATGAAGGTTTCTGAATAAAGAATACATGGGAACAAAATAAAATAAATAATCATAAACTATAGAGTATATCATTGAATGATGAATAATCGAAAGGAGCGAGTGAGTATAGCAGCGACTACATCATCTACCTATCTCTGTTACCACAGAAAACGTATATCTTCAATGGAAAGTTATTAACAGAAAGGAAAGTACAGGCTATTACACTATTAGAAAACACATTGATTGAGACAAATTGAGAAATACTTTTGGGTTTTCAAATCTGATATTAATTCTTTTTCTCCTCTAAACATATCGATTATTCATCAAGTTACTTTATTATACCTTATTACTGTTAACGTTATGCTTCTGTTAATTTATTTACAACCAGTGTATCAATGGCAGAGATTTTGATTCCAATACAAAGTTGTTAAACTACTCCTCTTTACTTGGTATATTAATATTTGCAATCTCAATAGTTTATAGATATTTTGCTTTCCATTCTACAAAATGATGCATAGACTAAATAGGGATTAAATGAATTTCTTTACAGAATGAGTTCTAAACAGGAATATAAATTAATGAGTGTAGTCAGTTCTTTACAATATTCGATTTCGTCTACTGTAGTTTATCAAAAATTAACAAATAGAAATTCATTATATCTCACTCTTCAACATATTTGCTACACACACATAAATCTAAAGTGGTGCATTATACAATAGCGTGTAGGTTAATAATAAATTATATATGTAGGTTGTTCATTTTATTATGGTCGTCCATTTTGTTCATTATATTCTGTCAAATTGTTTCTTTATAACTTTCTGTCTTTCTTTCCCAAGGTAACAAACTACTGTTGAATTGCATGTGACACATAGGTAATAAGAATTTTTACCACTTCATCGTTTTTCATGTGGTGATTTATAAAATATACATTTTTCATACAGAAATTCGAAATAATAAAAAATCTAAGGAAACTGTTCAATAGTATTTGCGTCATAGGCATAAAGGCATGAACTTAAATGTGATCATATTAGATAAACAGAAAAACAAAACCCTCAGTCGACAATTTCAAAATATTTACTTAAATTTTAGAGCAAATGAAAACACAAATATGTGATATCAATGCGATAATTATATTGTGACGCAGAAATAATTCACAGTCGTTCTTATACGACAAGGCGATAACAAACAAATGTACATTGATAAAGAGTACATTAAGACCTTTTAACTTGATGAACTAAGAAATTCTGACCAGATAAAAGACTAGATATCCAGGCTCTACTAAAGGCTATGAAATGTTTCGATGAAACTTTGACAAGTAACATTATTTATCTAAATTAACTTATGATATAAGAAGACTAGTTAGTACGCCATGAATCATAAAAAGTACTTCGTAGAAAAAGTATTCATGAAATACACATACACATAACACTCTCAAGTAGAGTTGATGGTTACCTCTCCCTAGTATTTGCCAATGTATCTTTCTATTGTGTCTTCGGCCTTTTGTATTAGGCCATAATGCAGACGTTTCAGATTACGTTCCTGTTGAGAACCCACACGTGTACCCTTTGAATATACTTACATAAACAAGCTACACAAACTGAAACTCATATAATGCATATACATAAGCATACACATCAGGCAGCCCGCAAGATTTAGTGAACCCCGAGTTTGAACCCGAATGATCCACTTTACAGCAGTAGTGAATTAGTCAGATCTCCGTCGACCGCCCAAATTACCTATCAATGTTGCTCCCACTACCAAGCAGCACCGGGAGGGGGCTTTGAGTTGGATTTCGCTGCCAATTAGTATATTGAATATGTTGATTTTTCTTGGTTCTTAAATTGTTGCGAACTAAACTCCATTGATTACAGTATGTAATAACACTTTTTATAATAATAAACCTTTTTCAGCTGATAAGTCATGAAATATAATGAATTTATTTTATTCTGCAAATATTGTTATCTTGTTATTTAAATTTATCAGGGGATCAGGATGTACGAAATTTATTTATGTGTTTAAACGAATATATCCTAAAGCACTCTTTAGTTTAGTAAAAACTTCGCCTGTTTATCTTTGAATATATCTCGTCTCTTACAATTCAATTCAATATTTAGAACCAACTACAAAAGCTGTGGAAAGTAATTCAAAAAACATTGTGAATGTTTTTAACAATAGTCTTGTTACTGATCAAATATAATATTCAGCCTTAGCTCTGTGTATAAGATTGCTGCTTGGATTATATTAATCTGGAATAGTTGTAAGTTGAACACCTTATAAACACATTTTTAAGATCCTCTTCTGTCATTTTACTCCCTTTATTTTTTACATACTTTTCTCGCTATATAGTGTTTATATGAAACTAATAACAATGGATAGAATAAATGCTAATAATCTTTATAATTTGCAATTTAAGATTTTACAGCTTTAGGAACAATGCCTTCAAGCCAAATAGATTAGTTTCCCCATTCTATATCACTTATGCTTTTTTATTACATGGTTGTATGAAAAGATTACGAACAATTTATATTTTTCTTCATAGTAATAATAATTATTATTATTCTATCCTTAGTAATTAAACTTAAACCTCTCATATGATTTAAAACGACTGTGTCTATATAGAATGGAATAAATTGCATTCGAAATACAGTAGTACTAAACATTCATAATTATAGTAGAATATTTAACATATATGAAATAATTACAAAGCAATTTAACTATAAAATTATTTATATAAAGATGAGATAAATTGAAGGTCAATAATAAACCATTAAGTTAAGTCAAACGGATAGTTAACAAGAAAGTAAGGTTACATACTCTCTATTATCACATATTAGTTGTATACTCGATTATCATCCTTCTAGATATACATGCATTTATACATTTAAGTAACAAACTATAACACTGACTAAGTAAGTGATAAACGACACAGCAAGGCAAATGTAAAAGTCAGCGGAATTTACCCATATATGTGGGTAAAAGATTTAATAAAGTCAAATGGTAATTCCAAACTGAAACTACTGATTCACGTTTACAGTAAAAATATATGACACTGAACAAAGAGTACATTGTTGGAAATTTAAAGAGGATACATTTACAATCTAATGTGAGTAAAGCTTTTCAATAGCATGAAATAACAGGACATAGTAATTGCCAGCGGCAATGTATCTTTCCATATGAAGAATGTTCGTTTACTAAAAATCCTTCAAGTTCGTTATACGCTCGGGCTATAAATTATTTTGTTAAACAAGATTTTATTTCACATTTACGATTGACGTCATGTTACTACCAGCGTGAAAACTGTTGACAGAATCTTCTGTTCAACAACTCTTATTATTATTTCAAAATAAGAGTTTGAAAACACAAAATTCAGGTAACCGGAACTGTCTAACTATGACAAATATCATCAAATGAATGCAATCACACTGAGACATCAACATTAGTCTCAAATAAATTTATCAAGTATGTAATTCTGACGACTTTCACTACTAACATTGTTTTCACAACGAGACTCAAAGCCTGAATAACTGATCATTTTCTGATAACTCTTCGTAGATTGAAGGATAAGTAGCACAGTCGGTTAGCTAATAACATACTTAAAATACTTAAATAAACTCACGAGTAATTACGTAAACAAGCGACAAAGATATTAGAAAAACATGAACAATAACAGTTTCTCGATTTCAATCTAAGCGACAATGAAAATAGAAAGCCTCCTTACAGTATATTAATGGACTGTTACTCTCTTTCGCCATCAACATAGTACGCGTTATTGACTTTTCAACACACACCTTCAAACAAGTAAACAAATAATTGAGAAGATAACACAAATGACATAATACACGACGTATATCAAAATAACAACCACAAATTTCAACTTACATTCAGTAATACAACAGGATGTTTCTGGAATATATTCAATGGGAACACGAATCCATTTAATCCCAAGTCGAGAGATAACTCTAGCTACGACCAGGTCAATCTCTTTTTAAACGAAAACAAATCAGATGAATAACCTGAACAGTGAGTTACAAAATATTTACTATCTGAATGTCATATTTTTCTTGATGTGAATGACATATGCTATAATCTCCAAGCAACATTAATTTGGAATATGGTATTCATAATCCTAATTTGTTCCTTGTCTCTTCTTTAAGTTCAACGATTCAGAGTATCAAACTCTAAACTTATAATAGCTTTGATTCCAACCACCTTTTAAATGCTTACATTTAACAAAGAAAAACACAAGGCATAAGTAGTACACTTGGATTTTTTTGACAAATACACAGTAAGAAATAGTAAGACTAACACAGCATGCATGAACAATCGCTGGTGTTTTTCAGAATCTAAAATAGAAGATCGTTTTAACAACACACTAGTAGTACCTCTTATTTTATAAAATAGCCAAAGTTGTGTGATTACAGACTATTTTTATTGTTTAAAACGATGTAGGATTTCAGGCATATCAGAAATTCTTGTCCAAATATTGTGAATAGACACATACTACTTACAACACAACAAGTAGCTCCATAGTTTAACGTACAAAACATTTAGTGTAGTGTTTGACACGGAAATGTAGTAAAACTTCACATGGAAGTTTATTTCTTGACTAAAAGTCAGATTCAAGTATTTTGTACTCATGAAATTAACCTATTTGTTCGATTACGAAGGTCTTCAGACTGAAACTGATCATATAAATGCAAACAAAGTTACCACTGATTTGATCCTAAATTATCAATATGTCGTCTACAGAATTCACATAACTAGAATTCTAACATGCAATACAACAACAAAGAACATTGAAATAAACATGTATCATCTACAAACTGAAGAAAGGAAACTGAGTAAACAAACACCTGAAACTGGAAACGTTCCGAGGATGATTCCGAAGAGGTTGACTTGACAAGAATTTACGGTCAGTTAAAGATGACAATCAAAAATACTTTCCTGATGCACAAATCAGCTTCGACATAACAAAGAGTACGAGTCTACAGTCCTTTCAGGATGTGTAGGTAAATTGATGTCAAAAATGATTTGGACATGGTCAATGAACTACTTGTATATTCAAACTGTTTATTATTGTGTGAACATAAAGGAATGAGAATAATAACGTAGTTAGAAGCAACATCCTTAAAAATTTCACTCAACCTACTCATAACTTTCCTCTGAAGGTTAATAACTATTTGCTTCTTCGATTCCTCGAAAATATAAATATTATAAATGTTAGGGATGCAGAGGAATATACCAATAATTATCATGTTAAGTCTAATGGTGTCCTTGGACTTTAAATGGACACTCCCTATTGGTCAGTATTTATTTCACTTGTTAAATATTGTACAGATGTTATTTTCTATTTTATGGTACGATGTGGTTTGTTTGATTGGTATATAAACAGAGTATGTTTGAAATATAACGATTCATAACTCAGAGGCTGAGATTTATGTTTTGAACTCAACTGGCTGGGCTAGACAGGGAAGCGGGACCAATCGAGACTCTAGGCCGTCCGTACGTGTTTTTCGTGTCATTGAATCGATCGATAAATACGCTGCTCTCTAATCTTTCAGTCAAGGACACAACAATTGGCACGGGGTAAAAAGCGATCCAAGTTTAAAGTCACAACAATAAATAAATTTCACAAACTGTATGAGATTCATGTATACTTCAAAGTTAAATCGAAATACACACCTGGCAAAACATGAACATGTTGATGACCATCGAAATGACTGGGAATAGTTCCAAAAACATCTCGAAATGCATTTATTTGTGATTCCAGTTCAACTGCAACCTAAAGTACAATACATCGTACATAAGATTAATTATTATTTAACAACAGCTTTCCCAGAACATCTCAACTAGGCAGATAGCAGGGGACAGAATTTCTAAAATTAATACAAATGTCAAGTTGTGTGAACGAATTTATAGAAAAAACAACCACAAGCAGATTTTAATTCCGCAACTCTAAAGCTGAACATCATTTACTGACAAATATGTCAGACTTATTACTGAAGTGCCCCAAATTAAAACTAGATACCTGGTTAATCCATTGACCCCATTAATTTTAATCCTCAAAGCGTAGACACACTATCATAACTGGCAGTGATTGAATTGATATTCTAAGTAAAAATACCCAGAATAGTCCAATTGAAGTCATATAGAACTCGATGACTGCAAGTGAACACATTACCTTTAAAATTCGAAAATACGAAAATCAAATATCCCATTGTAAAAAATACACCAAATACCAGCCTTTGAATAGGTGTTTAGAATATTGGAATCTTGATTGAAACAACAAAAACAGAAGGGTAGTTTATCAACCAAAAACAATCGTTTTGCAAGGAAAGCTCATGAAACTCACTTCATTCATGTGAATGCCAGAGAACACCAACTTCCTTCGAAATCCATGCTTACCAAGGAAATAACCATGATCATTCAGTAAGCTTCGTACAAACTTCGGCTTGGATAACGGTTTTCCTTCAGTCAAGTTAAAATGTAGACCTAAAAGAACATCAATCTAGACCAGATAATGATAAATGTTGTCTTAAACACTTGATTAGATATGGGACCTGCATTGAAAAGCACATTCACATCACTCATTCATCGATCTTGAAACTTAAACCGAACACCATCTCCACAATTTTACTGATTATCTTCATCATTTGACATTTTTTCTCGTGCATATTCAGACAAATTAGCGTTCTCTTCGCATTGAGCGTGACTTTCAACGGCAGATATTTACGAATTTCATCCAACATTTTCACAGATTTTGTCACAAATTCAAGACTAAATTGTCTTACATTTATAAGAAGTGATTCTTAGTTGAAATATAAACTCTTGGAGGAACTCATTTTGGAGACACATGTGTTCTTTCGCGATATATGTACGAAATATATTTAGGGACGTGCAGTTAATAAATTTTATGACATGTACAGTCAAAAATGAACACTTATACTGGACTAAAATGTATGGATGTTGAAAGTATGGTGGGATGTCGCTATGGAACTGTGACCAACTAATCAAACAAGAAAGATAACCTGAAGATCAAGGTTAGCTCTATGCAGTCTTAGATGAAGGAAACTTATCTCCTCTACTAAAAAGTGAAGTAGCCGGCTAATAGCCCATATTTCACTGGGCGCATCTGTAAAAGATATGAACTGAATGGTGAATGAATTGAAAGGATTAAAAATCGGGTTACCAACGAATAGAAATTAGCCACATTTCAACTGACTGAATAGACCATCACACAAAAAAGTATAATGAACTTAACACCCTACTCTATGTAGTTTAATACATACTTAGAGGAAATTCACACCGAAACTATAAAATAACTGATCATGTCAATAAATTTAGAAGACATGATTCCGTATTCTCAAAACTAAAACTTGCGAGTGTATCTACAGTTCCGAAACACATAAAAGTTGATAAACTGAAATGTATTAAGTCACTACGTTTGTGATTTTTGTATCACGTGTCAATAAAAGATAACATGAACCTTTTGTAACTACACATCATAAAACTAATCATCTGCATTTATTACGCTACAGAAAATAACAATATAATAATTTGATTTACTAAATGGCAAACTGAAAGTCCGAAAAAACTTATAGGAACTAAATAGATTCGTTAGATTCGGTTTGTTGATTTCAGTGACAATTGGCTCACACGTGAACGAGAAACTATTATCGGCAGTGCATAATCTTAGGATTGTAGATAACCACAGACTTACATTTGTCTCAAATAACTTGTTACATCAATGATTTACTCGAATAATTTCTCCAACAGCAACTTCTTGACAGAAAATGAGGAACTAGTCATCACCAATATCCACCTTTGTTCGCTTCGCACGACTTATTTGTGGATTTTCAGACAAGGTTGAACACTAAAAACTCCTTAGAAACTTAAAAATAAGGATGACCGGTTTTCATTGTTAAAGAAGAATTATAAGATCCTTCGAACTAAACATATGATAAAGTATCGAAATTGGAATCCTGTAGATTAATCATTTGAAACAGTCTGAAACACTCTAAAATGGTTATGAAAGTTTCTGTTTGTATTAGCATTTAATACTGTGGAAGTATGTAGCCAAAATATTTTGTAAAGTCTTGTTATACTTGGATTTGATACCTTTTCTTCGCTTGCTTGAATGTATAACTATGAAACGCTCCATTCGATTAGCAACCTGGCTTTCATTTTGCAAAACGTAGTCGGAAACAAATCAATTCATCGAAAAAGTTTTATTCAAAAGAGTAACACCCACAAACGTCATACACACTTGAAACTTTCACGACCAACAAATCAAAGGAACGAGTTAAATAAGATATCTCTGAATCTCAAAAGCGAATCCCAACTACAACGGTACAGCCGATAAATAGAACGGAACTACGCTTCCCAATTTTGCATCTCATGTTTCAGTTTTTGTACCATAACATTCCATATTCTATTGAGACATATAGTGATTTAAGCGAACCAACATTCAGGTTACTCAGTTGTTCGTAATGACGTGAGTCAAATAATTTGTAGTTACAATACATTCTTAACAGCCACCTTTATCTAATCAAATTTATTGTTATTGCAGTTTTCATACGTGAGATCTAGACTTATGTCCCACGCGCGATTAAAGTAGGTATTATGATACAACTTCATTAGCACTGATGCTCTAACTACCTCTACTATTGTGGTATTTGGCCTGAGAACTTCATCTCTCTGTGCCAATGGGGTCTGGCAACTTGAAACGACGTACATACGCACAGGCTCTACGTTGTTACTATCTGAGTATTGTAGGGTCAGTGGAATGTCACTGAGCCCTAGACAAACCATCCGGCAGTTGGATCACTGAATATCGAACAGATCATCGATCCCTTTCAAAGTTAAGGACAACCGACGCGCATCAGTTAATCGTATGTCGTGGGACTGGCTAATGTGGTGGTGGTCTCACTATCTTCTCTGTACTCTTTCTTACTAATATATTTCCATAATAACGTCCTTTGTGTTGTATGGTCCTCAAAGTATCAATAGTAACTTGATACGACGAAGGGGTAATCCACGTTAGATGCTGACTGCAAGCCGTGATTTTGACGTTAGCTGCTGGTCACACTATTCCCGTCTAACTCAAGTAGGCCCTCAATCATTCGACATAGATCATCTACGTTGGTGATCTACACTATGCTTCGGATAGCTATATCTGACTCAGTGAGTACTTTACAGTCCACTGGGATTAATGAATGTATCAAATTAGTAAAAGTGAACTGAATGATTTGGGTAGTAGGTAACTACCGCAGTTTTTTATGATCATTGATGTCATATGTATATCATGACCGGTAAGAAAGTAAGACTTCTTAGACCACTCATATACCTCTACAGAGCGCGTTTGCTTGTTTATTCAAGAACAAAGTTTTTAGTGAGCCAACATCCCAAATCAGAAAAGCTATTGGAGATAAAGAAAGAAGTAATGATATCTTGTGAAAACAAGAAAAATGAATAGACATTTGGGCAAGCACTGACGACTGTCCCACACAATAAATGGGATACAAGGAGTCAGTGACTCAAGTCTCAACAAAAGTCGATGATAAACAAACACAGTGAACAATGTGTAGATATAAAGTGAACAAAATAGCAGAAACATTGATGTTTTCAATAAAGTGCATATTGAACAATATTACCTGGGATGTGTCTATTCCGTGAGATATGTGAGAACAGTGAGGACATCTGTGGTCTTTTATGGTCTGGACAGGAAAGCAAACTTTTCGCAACTGCACCATTCATTAGAACTGAAACATCCGATACTCCACGATCTACTGTTGAAAGACAAGAAACAATGCCCCGGTCCCTAATATCCGAGTAAAACCCATCATCTGCATTTACAATAATTTCAGTACTTCTAAATCCATGAGATCCAGATGCCATATAGTGTGAAAAATATACTGTGATTCCGTACTATCCGGTATCAAAAAATTAAAAGTGAAAACAAAACACTAAACATATTGCTGAGTTAAAACTATAAGTTCATTCAATCTTCAGTAATAAAGATAGTAGGTTGGTTAACCTGTGTTAATCCTGAAAGATTGCCTCCCAGTGAAGGTCCAGCTTCTCCTTGGAAATATTCACTGATGGGGCTCATACCATTTGTTCGGGTAAGGCATTCCAGTCATTGACTACTCGATGAGAAAAAGAGGACCCCACGTAAGTCTTATTAGATCGTGGTTTGTGAACCTTCTTGCTATGACCTCGGAGATTATTAGTGCTGGAGCGAGTAAAAAGATAAGACATAGAGACACCCAAATCATAATAAAAGATACGAAATGCCAGTATAAGGTCACCTCGCGTTCTACGATACAAAAGGAAAAGGTCTAGACGTTATGAACGCTCATCTTAAGGGGTTTTAGAAAGACCTGTATCGTGGCGTCAAGTCGCGGTTGACTATATATATATATAATCACCACTACAGGAAAACTACGTGCCAGTTAACCGATAAGATCCTACGTAAGTCAAATATCAGAAGGTAGTTGCTGACTTTATTTGTTGACAATTTCGTTGTATCGAAAGAATACCGAGATCATGGCTGAGATTGCTTGTCAAACAGTTGCCCCGGCCCGTCCTAACATATGGAAAGCAGATATGCAGGCAATTAACTCCGCAGCATCGGCTGAGAACTGGGAAATTGACTCAAAGGCATCAGTACAAGAGGCATGGACTCTATTCAGGCAGTTATACAATCGGGTAACTCAACCATACATACCCTGGACTGTCCCAAAGAAAAAGAAGCACGGACATCCCTGGATAGGGCGGGATATTCGACGCTTACTAAGACAAAAGAAGAAATGCTGGGATGTTGCCATCCGCCTTGGCACAGCGGGTACGATGGAACGCTACAGATCGATAAGAAACGAGTGTATAACTAAAATTCGGGAAGCGCAAAGAAAATATGAAATGCAGCTGGCAGAATCTGCACTCAAGCAGCCCAAGAGGATATTCTCGTACATAAACTACAGAACAAGGATTCATCATTGGATTCCCAACCTAATTAAAGTAGGAAGTGAATCTGAAATGATAGAGGAAGATCAGGAAAAAGCTGAGGTTATGGCTGACTACTTTGGGGCAGTTTTCACTCAGGAACCTCCTCTAGAGAAAGAACCAGACCCAATTACAGAGTCAACAAACCAGCTGCTCACCGTGGACTTCGACCAAAACGATGTGCTTAAGGCTCTTAGCACCCTAAACATGGAGAAGTCAACAGGACCAGATGAACTACACCCTAAAATCTTGAGACATATTGCCCAATATATCGCAGCCCCACTGACTGTGATATTCAAAATGTCACTTGACCAAGGTGTGTTACCTATGGACTGGAAGGACGCAATCGTCACTCCCATACATAAAACAGGTCCACGACAAGTTCCATCAAATTACAGACCCGTAAGCCTCACCAGTGTTGTAATTAAAATACTGGAAAGAATAATCAAACGGACCATAACAGCATTTATGGAAACCAATAACTTGCTGAACATGGCACAACATGGTTTTAGAAAGGGTCTATCCTGTACAACGAACCTCCTTATAGCTAGGGAGCTCTGGATTAATGCGCTAGACAACGGAAACTCAGTGGATGTTGTCTACATAGACTTCAGTAAGGCTTTTGACAAGGTGCCAACTAATAGACTGCTATTGAAGTTGGCAAACCTTGGTATTGCCGGACCTCTTTTAAAATGGATTAAGGATTTCCTAGTAGGTCGTAGGCAAAAAGTAAGAATAAATTCCAAGTGCTCCATCTGGAGACCAGTACTTAGTGGAGTACCCCAAGGTTCCGTCTTAGGTCCTTTACTTTTTATAATGTACGTTAATGATCTTACAAGTATAGTACAGTCTCCAATGTTATTATACGCTGACGATGTAAAAATTTGGCGAGTAATAACTGGAGACAAAGACGCATTTACTCTTCAGGCGGACTTAAATAATATGATAAACTGGTCTAAAGAGTGGCTAATGCCTATCAACTCGGAAAAGTGTGTCTACATGCACTTGGGGGATTCAAAGGTTAATACGTACAACATAGGGGATGTGTCATTACCCGTAGTCCGGTCTCATAAGGACCTAGGGGTGACAGTGAGCAATGATCTTAAGACGACGGCCCATTGCCGGGAGGTCGCAGTTAAGGGGTTTCGAACCCTCTGGGCTTTAAAAAGGACATTCACTAAGCTTGATACTACCATGTTCACCACATTATACACATCCTTAGTGAGAACTAAGTTAGAGAACTGTGTTCAGGCTGCAAGCCCCTGTTTAAAGGTGACTCGGACATAATAGAAAAGGTACAGAGGGCAGCTACGCGTGCAATTCCGGAACTCCGATTTTTCATATAAAGAGCGGCTTGAAAAACTGAACCTCTTTACTCTGTCCTATCGCAGACTAAGGGGAGATCTAATATTGATGTACAGAATACTGAGAAATGATTTCGGACCTAACTTATTCTCTCTCTTTCTTCCCACTAGATCGGGACACCTCAGAGGACATAGCAGGCGAGTAGAAAAGCCAAGAACGAACAAAATACCCGTGGCATACAGGTTTTCACACCGAGTCATCAATACTTGGAACCTGCTGCCTGAAGCAGTGGTGTCCGCACCTTCAATTGACTCTTTCAAGAGAAGACTGGACACTCACAGAAGCATACTAGAAAAGGAATAACATAGGCCGTAGGCCTTCTGTCCTTACTACACAAATCTGAATCTGTGGTTACTGAGCTTAACCGAATTCGCGCAAGGTCACAATCAACGGAAGATAGTATGTGTTTTGGCACAGTTAAACAAACACATACGGTAAAACAATCCCTGGTACAATTGGTTATAATAATAAGTGTTTCCATTACATCGCTCGCGTTCTCTTGATAAAAGTAGGTCACTACAGACCCTACACTCATTTTGTTCCCACACGCTGGACACGCTCAAGTGAGTTATTATCATTTACCAGCCATGGGCCAGCTGCTTGGATACAGTACTCTAAATGTGATCTTACATAGGTGGAATATAAAATTCGAAACATCTCCTAGTCAAAGCATTTGAATGCTCGGCGAAGTGAACATAACGCACAAAAACCTTTGACAACAGTTGCGTTGCAATGCGTAGTTGTTTTTAAGTCATGACCTATTATTACTCCTAAGTCTTTGTGTTCTTTGGATGCATAGAAGAGGTTTGCCATCAATAGTATAATAATAACTATTACCGTGACCGATGTGCATTAGCACACTCTTCCTAGAAAATATTTCCAAGCCCAAACATCGAGCCCATCTAACTAAATCGTCTAAGTCATCTTGGAGAACCAGATGATCAGCCTAACTTTTTATTACTCTCCAGATTTTTAAGGTCATCTGCAAAAAAAATGTATACGATCTGAGCGACAGCGGTAAATCATTAACGTAGAGAAGGAAGAGCAGAGGGCCTAAGATGGTACCTTGTAGTACATCACTTTTGACCGGCTTTCAATCGGATAGCGTTCCACTGAACCTCACTCTCTGTCTGCGGTCACATAAGTTACCTATCCACTCGTGTACAGCACCGAAGCTCGACAGCTTCTGCAATATTATTTTTCCATTGTATAAGGGTAAGCCATAACGTGTTGATGTTTGCACGAACTAATAAGAGATTAAAAAAGCAAAGTTTTAGGCTTATATCTGTCGGCATAGATCACAAGTAAAATCTAAGACAAAAATATTCAAAAAAGGCATCTTGCGCTCACGAATATACATACGGCGCAAATAAAGCTTCAAATGTACTCATATTCCCCCCACCTTAGTGGTATAATCACCAGCATGGCAACCCACGGAAGTTTGTTTTCAGATAATGAATTCATAGTGATATGACGGCCACTGAGGATACCCATTAGATCTCTAGATGTAAGTATAGACGGTGTCTGGCTGCAAAGACTTTGTGATTTGAGGGATTTGCGAAAAAGGACCTATATGTGTGCGCTTTTCGAACGGGAAGTTTAGTCCTAACGTGATTTGCATTTCTTAAACTTTTACTGTGCTCTTACGAAACAACAGTACCATTTCTGATCTGAAGAATATATTCTGAGCTCTACGTTCGGTAGATTACCTTTTTTCGAGTTTCACCCAATTTCATAGTTATCTGTGGTTTCACCATAGCTAACTATTCCGTTTTTTTTCGGTTTTTCACGCAAAGGCTGGTTCAGTTTATCTCATCTGTTTTTATCCATTTTTTTCTGTCTTCAGTGTGCTTTTTAATGTATTTTTAACGGTCTTAGGCTTTTGCTAGCATCTATAATACAGTTTACGTCAATATAGTCATGAAAAATTTATACAAACGACCTGGAGGTCGTTTTGCTGTTACATCTGCCATGCAGTGCGGCAACTGCAAAGGTTGGTTCCATGAAGCGTGCAGAGATCTCACAGCAACTGCTTATAGCAGACTCAGCAAGTCGGATCATAAGTGGGTATGTGTTACGTGCAGCACGGATGCTGTAGTTTTGCTGAGTACAATCATTATCCTGTCGAAAGGTCTGCGGAATAAGTTGTCAGCAAACTTGGAAAAGATAGTCACAAAACGGGTAGACAAACAGGGGCGCGCAACGAAAACAGGGATAAGGATGTCGATAGGTTTGCTATCGACGGGGCACGCATTAGCACTAGTTATGACATGCTGAAACTAAGCACCATCATTACGCCGACAGTAATAGACTCCCTCAGCAAACTCGGGTCTCACAGCTCAGGGTCCTTGAATGCAACAGTGGTCCGCAAAAACTCTGTAGGTGATTGGACCTGTTGTTAACAGAGCTAAAAAGGACCAGGCGTCGCCGTCTAAGCTGAGAATCCCAAGTGTTGTACGGAAACCAATTGGTGATTTGATCGCACAGTCTACCCCCAAGAATGTCCGTCCGTTCATCAAAGAGTCTAG